AATGTGGTGCTAGGAATTGAATCCAGTGCCTCACACATGGTGCAAGTGCTCTACCACTGAGCCACAACCCCAGCCCTGAAAAAGAATTTTAATGTATCTTATGATCAGTCATTCCCGCTTATGAAAGTGTACGGTTCAAAAATAAAATCCTGCTGGTTTTTGTCTCTCCAAACCATTACTAATCTCCTCCCCCTTCTCCTTCTTCTTCCTCTTTCCTTGGCACCTCTCAGGAACCCAGGATTCCTCTAATGCAGGCTATGCTAGATTCATCTTCGGCCCTCTGCACTCTGATGAGGGTGTCCACAAAAATGTCCCATCTTAAGTTATGAACCAGAGTTTTGGTTTGGCCCAGAGACACCTCCTAGAAACTCGGCTATTGAGCTCTAGAGAAGTGTGGGTAGCAGACTGCAGTCCTGAGGTGAGTGGTTAGATGAGTCCACACTGCCATCTGGAGGCCGCTGGGAGAGTGACATGGAGCCCTGGCGTTCCTTGAAGAGCGAGGGTCTCCCTTCCCATGCTTTCTGGGACCTCACCAAGTCTCCACAAACCTCAGGGAAGAGTTCTGCACTTGTCTAGTCAGGCCAAGATGCAGCCCACTCCTCAGATCACCCATGGTTCCTAAGCCTTCTTTATGGACATCAATCCACATTCAATATTTTAAAAAATTTTCCTAGCACAGAAGAAACGTTTTTCAGGATGATTCACAATCAGGAGACAGAACAATGTGGCTGCTGAACTCATGCCCAAGTGGTCAGAGGTAATGTGATGCCCCCGCTGGGCGTTAGGGTCCCAGGCCTGGAGTGCTCATGGCCAAATGGTCAGGCCTTTCCTTTCATCTGAGGCAATGATGAAATCTGCCACCTCGAAAGGCACACACATCCACTAGGAAAGGAACTCGAAGGCAGAGATGTGGCAATAACCCACAGAAGTCCTATGAGACCACATTCCCATACCCGTGCCTGATAAGGCCAGAGTGCCCCGACTTGTGCTGGACTGTGGCCTTCGGCCCCACATACTCCGGACTATACATGGACATGGCTGCCACCCTCCCCAAGAGTGAAGCTCCTTCCTGTTGAGTCCACACCTGCTGCTAGAAACCCAGGGAGTGGGGAAGGAGTTTGAGCTACACCAGGTCTCAGTCTTTTTTTTCACAACTAGAAGCAGACAGCAGCACCTGATGGCAACATATTGTCCAGGTTCAAAGAATCCCTGAAGCAATTCATGAAATCTTGAAGAGTTGAGGAGGTGTCAGTAGAGACAATAAAACTTTACCTAGATTCCAAATGGGATGAGTTCAAGTAGACATAAAACTAGAGAGTATTAAAACTAATGATGTCACACCTACTTGGTAAAGCAGCCCAGCTACTCAAGGAAGCTTGGTAGGGAGGCAGGGTTTACTTGTGGAAGAACTGCAAGATATGAATATGAGATGGCATGAAAACCATGGGTGGGTGCTGAGCAACTACATGGGCTGCACATGCAAAGTGTTTAGGCACCAGCCATCTTTTAGGTTCAGGTGGACAGCATTCGGTTGTGAGGTGTCCCCCGCAAAAGCTCATGTGTGAGACAATGTTAAGAAGGTTCAGAGAAAGCCTTAACCAAATCAGTGAATTAATCACCCAATGGGATTGACTTGAGTGGTTAACTGCAGGCGGGGGGTGGGGGTGGTGGTTGGAGGTAAGGCATTGGAGGCCTGGCTTTGGTGTATGCATTTTATATCTGGTGAATGCTTCCTGATCATCTTGTGAGCTGCTTCCCTCTGCCATGCTCTTGCGCCATGATGTTCTGCCTCACCTCGAGCCCCAAGGAATGGAGCCTACCTTCTATGGACCAAGACCTCCGAAACCATGAGCTCTCAAATAAGCTTTTCTCTTGTATAATTGTTCTGATTGGGTCTCTTAGTCCTATCAGGGAAACAGCTGACTAAACCACAGGATGACGGGCTGTCACCGCTCCTTATGTTCTTTATCTTTTGGCTTACCTGGTGGTGTGACCATACCTGGGCTCCCAGTTCCCTCAGCTTCTAGGCCCTTTGTGTCTAGCCCACAGCACAGTAGTCTGGTATCTATTCACTAGAGGGAGGTCAGAACAGGTGAGACTGACTCAGGAAACTCAGTAGCGGCAGGCTCTAGTCCCATCTGTCCTTGTGTCCCCACCTCCATCCCATGGCCCATGCTGTGGATTTCAGCTCTAATACCAAACACAGAAAACACAGGCCTCACAGATTAACCCAGGCCCTCTTAATTTGGTAAGATCAAATTCTACAAGAGACCCATCTTATGTCTCCCAGGTGGCTTCTCTGGTGGAATCTGTCTGCTGAAGATGTGGACTTTCTCCAGCTGTGTCCACAGTGAGCACTTGTGTATCAGGTGGTTTTTCACTGCTGGGATCATAATACCTGATGAGAGGAATGAAGAGGAGAAAAAGCTCATCTTGGCTCACAGAGATTTTCTAGTTTTAGAGTTCTAGTCCCTGGTTGGCAGACTCCATAGCTTTGGACCCAAGGTGAGGTAGAACATCGTAGCAGAAGGGTATGGTGGAAGAAAGCTGCCTAGCTTACCGCAGCCTGGAAGCAGAGGGAAGGGAAGGAGCTTCAGGGAAGATGCGTTCTTCCAAGGTCCCTTGTGGGCAGTTTAAAGGTTTCTGCAGGGGCTGGGGATATAGCCTAGAGGTACAGTGCTTGCCTTGTACTCATGAGGCCCTAAAAAAACTGCCTTAAAGGTCCCTTCAGGTGAGCAAAATAAATACCAAGAGCTCTGTTCCTAAGATAAGCTGGCCAAGATAGATTTATCCAAATTCCTTGAAAGAATGCATTTTCCCTGCACATCCCCAGTGACCCACCTCCTCCAGCCATGTCCAACCTGCCTAGTTACCACCCGGTTAGTTCATTCAAATTAGGATGGACTACTGGGTTAAAACTATCATTATCCAATCATTTTGCCTCTGAATATGCCTCCATTAATAGGAACTTTTGGGGGCGCTTTCATCCAAATCGTTACACCTGAGTATTTCATTTTAAAAATGTAGATTTTCATGCCCTAACCCCATGGCAGGGATAGCCCAGGACCTGGTTCTGGGCAAGCACCCTTGTAACTGGTGTGAATTTAGGGAAGGAAGACTGAGAGTCAAAGCGCATTAACATATATATACTCCTGGGTCATGAAGGTCTCACCTGGGTAACAGGTACAGGAAAGCAGGAAGAAAACCTACCAGGGTAATTACTGAGACCCTTGGTAAAAAGACCATTTTCTGGGGCTGAGGATGTTGCTCAAGTGGTAGCGTGCTCAGCTGGGATGCGCGGGGCACTGGGTTCCATTCTCAACACCACATAAAAATAAAGATATTGTGTCCACCTAAAACTAATATATATATATATATTTAAAAAGACCATTTTCCTGCTGACTTGTCATATTCTGCTCAGCTGTGCTGTGGGCCCCTGCACAGATCAGGCCTGCAGTTGTAAGAAATGTCCAGGCTCAAGAGCAGCACATCTGAGCATCACAGGCTCAGCTCATCTTAAGATCTAGAGAGTACATTTCTATCCTGCTTGATAATCAGACATACATCTATGTATCCAAAGTCAGCCTGGAAGCAAGGAGTAATGACTACAAATTCCCACAATGAGCAGAGAGTAAGGGTAACACCTCCCATAGTGAGCAGTGGGCAGGGAGCAAGGCTAAGACCTCCCATGGTGGACAGCATCCCTCAGCAGTTCTCACATTGCCTCTGGTTGGCAGACCAGCCTCTGCATGACCACAGCATTGGCTATAGGTGAACTGCCCTTCTCATCTTCACTCAAGGCTACAAGGCCTCCCTTTTCAAGTAGGGAATGAGGCTGAGTCACCAAAAGGTCACCCAAATCATCTGGGCTTGGGAACCTCTACCAGCACCCATGAACTGCAGCATGGCAGCCATCTAGAGGCTACAAGACAGCTAGGTGTGACCTGGGAAGGTGGAAAAAAGACATCAACAAGCACAATTATACGCCACTGATACCACTCAATTCATAGAACTCCCCTGGCAATATGGGTAGGTGAGGATCTTACAGAAATTTCTAGACATACAGATTAATGGAATTTAAGTTAGTGAAAAACCGAATCATGAACAATGGGAAATACTTTGGACAAAGAATAAAATAGATCTAGTTTATAGATGACAATTATGTATTTTGCATGTAAGTCCACTGTTTTTAACTGTGATCTTGAATGCTGATATCAGGTGCCAACCTGAAAGTTTAACGGGAATCTGCAGGGCTGGCAAAGCACTGCTCTGTGTAGGCTGGGTATGGAAGATCCACCATGGATGCAGGCGCACCATCCTATGGGGCCCTGAGGGAACAAGAAGGCGGCAAGGGGAAATATGCCTCTCCGGGGCTGGAACGTCAGAGTCCTAAGCTCTCAGGCTTTCAGATGGACTGGGTGAGCTTGGCGCCCCAGCCTTCTCCAGCATGCAAAATGCCTATTGTGGGACTTTCCCAGGCTCTGTAACCAAGTGCCAGTTCCCCTAGTAAGTCTCCATGTACATCCATCCCACTGCTCTCTCTCTCTGGAGAGCTACAATATGATGGAAGAGAAATGCAAACAAAACCTTCCTGCTGTATGCCAGTACTTGTGCAGACCAGTCCAGACCTGTTTGTAGGTTGAATGTTTATAATATGCATCTACCAAGAGTTTTTGGTAATCTGAATCAAATTCTATTTAGCAAAAGGTAAAATAAATGAAACTGGTTCCTAATATCAACCAACATTGTAAAAACCCCATCACACCATAGGCTGTCACAGCACCTAGGTTAACTGCACAGTAAAACTGTTCAACAACTGGGTGGGTGCAGTGTTGCAGCCTGTAATCCCAGCAATCTGGGAGACCGAGGCAGGAGGATTACAGGTTTAAGGCCAACCTCTACAACTAAGGAAGGCCCTGTCTCAAAGAATATCAAGGGCTGGGGGATGTATGGGTTCAATCCTCAGTACCAAAACAATAATAAAAAACCAAACCACCAAATAAAAACAAAGTTAAAATGCACTTTACAGTTCTTAGACAAAAAAGTCTTTAGCTCTATCAAAACCTAGGGTCCTCTCTCTCTTTGTGATACTGGGATTCTAGGTTTGGGCCTGTGGCATGCTAGGCAAGCATTCCACCACTTACCTCTACCCGAGCCTTCTCTCTATTGTAACATTACCAAAGCACTTGTGAGACTACTCCAAAACTGCCTTCTACTATTTGGGATTACTATTTAAAGTTTTTATAATTATTAGCCAAATAGTTATTTAATAAGATCTGGGGTAAAAAAAAAAAAAAAAAAAAAATCCCAGATTTCTGGCTAAAGCCCACGTAAAAGGCTTCTCACTTTTACAATTTTTAAGAAATTCTGGTTCAAGACTTTTTTTTTTTTTTTTTTTACAGCACAGCTTTCTCAGATTGCCTGCTTAATAATCCCAGGCATGAAAATTTTAAGCTATATCACTTGTATACATTGAAGTTTTAATAAAACCCTGATAAACAACATCCCTTCTGGGCAGTTTAAATATCCCTACAAGGGCTGGGGATGTAGCCTAGAGGTAGAGTGCTTGCCTTGCATGCATGAGGACTTGGGGTCAATCCCCAGCACTGCAAAAAAAAAAAAAAAAAAAAAGGTCTTAAAAGTTCCTTCAGGTGAGTGGGTAAACTAAATAAACACCAAGAGCCCAGTTCCTTAGATAAGCTAGCCAATAAGATAGATTTCTCCAAATTCCTTGCTGATAAATATGAGGGAAAATTCAGCAACACCTCTGGATGACAGGCAAGTGTGGGGAGAATGAAGAAAATGAAAGAAGAAATTCTACTTTCTAAATCTGTCTCCTTAGATAAAGCACATTTTAACAGAACAGGTACTTTAGGGTTCTTTCACAATAAAAAGACCTTGCCCAACAGCCCCCAGGGACAGCCCATCATCAGTCCTTCCGCAGGGGAACAGTCTCCTCCCGGATTCCCTCTTTGGTCACAATGCAGATCCTGAGGGCATCCCCGGTGTATACGTCCCTCTCAGCTGCAGAAATGAAGACATCTTTCACCAGCCTCATGGCTCTGTCCAAAGACAATGGCACATGCTCCACATTCTGCATGTTCTTGAAACCAACCTGGAAGGACAGGAGGCTGGCATGAGTGTCCTGTGATGGTAAAGGCCAAAGGAAGGTTCCAGCCTCCCCCCAGTACTCTCTCAGGTCTGTAGATTCATAATAAAAATATCACCGTAGAATGCCCTTCAGACCAAGAACTGCCAGTCTTGGATGAATCACACACACCAGAAACCTGGGATGAACTCACTGGCAAAGCTTCCATTCTTGAGAAACTAAATCAAGCAAGGTAGAGACAGGTAAGCAGAGGAAGAGACAGTGTCATAACTAAGAAGAAAATGGGCCAGGACCAATTTCTACAGCCACCAACTAGGTCCACTGGAAGAAGGCAGCAGCAGAGTACCCAAGAAGTCAAGTGCTAAAGGACACACTGCAGGCTGAGAGCACCAGGCATTCCTAACTGTGGGGGAGGTACACATGAAGAGTGTGTGGTTTTAGGGAAAAGCAGTGTCCAGTGGTGGGAAATGAGGCAGATAAGCAAGAACCAAAGGTATGGCCAAACAAATCATACTTGACAAGTGAACTAGGGAACACTGGAGGCAGAAGGGGGATTGGAAAATAAATTCAGAAATGTAGGTTTGAATCTTGGCAGCTATGATGGTGGAGACAAATGAAAAACATCCCTGGAAGTTAGAACCAGAAAAGTGAAGGGGTAAAAAAGCATTTTCATGACCTCAGGAGGGCACAGACCAACTGCTGCAGAGGTCAGACCCCAGAGAGCTGGCAGAACAGACACGGCATGGTTTGGGCAGGGCAACCAACCAGATGAACTCAGCAGCTCCTTAGGAAAAGGAAGAGCACTAAGAGGGAGGTGCTGCATCTGGCCACAGCCAGACACAGGCTCCTTACCTGGTTGTCGAGCAGGGGCTGCAGCATAGCACTTGCTGAGCCTCCAGCCTTGAAGGAGTCTCTCTGGTAGGAGCCTACTGGGTCAAAGCTGTACACAGCTCCTTTTCCTTAAAGAAGAAAACAGTCTCCATAAGGACGGCACCCAATCACCACCCAGACCACGGTAAAAATGAACATAAATCCAGTCAAAACATGATGTGAAATGCACCACCAAGAGAGGTGGGAGGGAAAGGGAGAGAGAAGGGAAACTGCATGGAAATGGAAGGAGACCCTCAGAGTTATACAAAAGTACATACAAGAGGAAGTGAGGGGAAAGGGAAAAATAATACAAGGGGGACAAATGAATGCCAGTAGAGGGGGCAGAGAGAGAAGAAGGGAGGGGAGGGGAGGGGAGGGGGGATAGTAGAGGATAGGAAAGGCAGCAGAACACAACAGACACTAGTATGGCAATATGTAAATCAATGGATGTGTAACTGATGTAATTCTGCAATCTGTGTATGGGGTAAAAATGGGAGCTCATAACCCACTTGAATCAAAGTGTGAAATATGATATATCAAGAACTATGTGATGTTTTGAACAGCCAACAATAAAAAATTAAAAAAAATATATACTTTCCCAATCCACTGATAAAAAAAAAAATAAAATAAAAAAAAAAAAAAGAAAAAGAAATGCACCACCAACTTGGCTAACTTCAGCCAATGACCAGAACACATTCACTGCTGTGCCGGTGACACCAGTAGAAAGCATGGTCAGAGCAAGAGACCCAACCCTAGGCTCAGACACTGCAGGCAACCTACTTACTAGACACTTGACATGATCTGCAAGGTCACGCTGCTGGTATCAACCTGTGGCCCCAACATGCAGTGGGATGCAGATGCATCGGCTAATAGGTTACAGGGTCTGCTCTAGTTTCTGACCAAATCCCTAATATTTCTAAATAGTATAGTTTTTGTAATATTTCTAACTAGTATAGTTTTGGCATAGACCTGACAGTTGAAAATTTTTCCAGTGGTAAATGCATGAGTGATCATAAGGAATACTTGCTGTGTTTGAAGCATAAAACCAATCCTTCATAAAGGAGGAATTTCAGAAAAACATAAATGACACATGTAAAATATTAGGTTTGCCCAAACTATAACAACTTGAATTACTAGAATGATAAAAAAAAAAAGCTTCTTTGGCTGGGGTTGTAGCTTAGCATGTACAAGGCACTGGGTTCAATCCTCAGCATCACATAAAAATAAATAAATAAAATAAAAGCATTATGTTCCTGTACAACTAAAAAAACAAAAAAAATATTTTAAAAATATTTTTTAAAAAATAAAAGAACAGCTTCTTTGCTGGGCACAGTGGCATGTGCCTGCAATCCCAGCAGCTCAGCAGGCAAGGCAGATCACTAGTTCAAAGCCAACCTTAGTAATTTAGCAAGGCCCTAAGCAACTTAGTGAGATACTATCTCAAAAAATAAAAATAAAAAGGGAGTAGGGTGGGGTAGAGAGAAGGCCTGGGGATGTGGCTCATTGGTTAAGTGCCTCTGGGTTTAATTCCTGGTTGCTCCCCCAACAGAATAGCGAGAAGCTAAGAAAAACAGAATCTGAATCCACTTTCTCGCAACATGACAGAGACTTGTGGGACAATGAGGATGTGCCTGGCAGACTCCACTGAAGCAGATGTAAATGATGCCCTCTCTGGCCTAAGAACCTCCTGGTGTGAAAGCACACACACGACGACTCAGTCATGACTCCTTGTAAACAAGAAAGACACCTCTATATCACCCAAGAGTACAAAACTTGTCAGTAGAAAGAGCAAACCCTGGAGCCAGCCCCGCCCCTCAGTATCCCAATATGGCCTGCTCAGGCCATGTTTCAGTGATCAAAAACATTAATATCTGCTATCACCCCAGAGAGGTTATGAGGTTAATACACTCAAAATACTTAGGTAGTTTGCAGTGCACACATGTTCAGTGTGCACCTTGTTACTACTACTCAGCAGCCCTGGAAGAAGACTTACATGTATGTAACGGGACTATGGAAGACGGGACAATACAGAATGAATTGAGCTGGGTAACATGTACAAGACAATCCTGTTCTTTAAGACTTAAGAAAACTTATGCATATCTGGAGTCATCAGCTTAAAATTATACAATACATCCAATGTATGGCTACAGGAAAATACAGGTTGGACATCCTTCATCCAAAATGCTTAGGGCAAAACGAAAAAGAAGAATCCCCTGATCTGGTAATTCAACAATGAGAAATTTTATAGGTATACAAAAGCTTTCGGAAGAATAAATAGCAAGCTGTATTTGATTATCTTTTGAGTGTGGGATTGAAGGTAAACAACAAAAATGCTTCTCTATTGTTTGAGTTTTTAAATAAAGAACACGTCACTCTGCAATTTTTGAAAAAGCTTTTTTTAAAAAAAAATTATGGATGTGAGACATCATGGATCATTCAGAAGGCATGCCTAAAACTGCATGTAACTGACTGGAACAACACATGACACTAGAACAGGAGTACTCCAGCATCACCTGGGAGATGTGGGGTAGGGAAAATCTTCTTACCTTGTGTGCACAACTGCCACTGTTATCTTTGTGTACTTTTTCTGTTGCAGAAATATGAAGACTGAATTTCATGCTGGACAAGGCAACATGAAGTCCCCCAAGAGAATCTAGGGAAGTGTCTTTGAGGAAGCAAAGGTCCACTAACCTCAGCCTACCAAGAAGGAATGGAAAAGAGGCATAAAGGCAAAAGACAACCATAACTCGTACAAGCTGAGTGGCCACAAGCAAAATGAGACACAAAAGCTTTCCCTGAGGGTGGAACTAAGTTCAGAAAACTAGAAAGAACAGATCTGAGGAAAGCAAAGGAAAGGGTGAGATCTGCCACAAACAGACTTCAAGAGGCCCCTAGAGAAAGCAAGAGAGACTGGCAACATCTGTGCAGGGGCATAAAGCTTGACTGTGAAGCACTTTCCCTCAACAAAATTCAAAAAGCTCTATGATTTTCAAATAAATAAATTAATTGAAATAAAGCCAGATAAGTAAGTCCTTGAGAGATACAGATAAGTTTTGGCTTTCCTAACCAGGCAGGAAATGCTTAAGACTGACAGATTAACTAAGAACGTACATAAAATCAAGCTCTCACGTTCCCTGCTGGTAGAAGTGAACTGCACATCCTTTCTAGAGGACTGGGCAGTAATGAAAACAAAATGAAAAAGAAGAATCCCTGATCTGGTAATTCAACAATGAGGAATCTTTTCTGGAGGAGAAAAGCACAATTAGAGAAATACACAGAGGTATATTTTTTACAAGGATGTTTCTCATGTTGTTTACAGGAAGGAAAGCTGAACAACCTGAATGCCTGTGGAGGACAGTGAGGCACACCAAAGTACAGCCTCATAGCACGGAATCAGATGCTAAGAGTCCTTAGGCATATTTGGAGTCATCAGCTTAAAAACATACAATATATCCAATGCATGGTTACAGGAAAATACAGGTTGGACATCCCTCATCCAAAATGCTTAGGACCAGAAGAATTTCAGATTTTTAAATTTTGGAATATTTATATATACAATATAAGGTATCTTGGGATTGGGACCCAAATCTTAATGTGAAAATCACTTACGTTTCATACACATAGCCAAAAGGTAATTTCATAAAGTATTTTAGATAATTTCATTCACGGAACAGTTTTGCGGTGTGGATTTTCCCACCTATGGTGCTAGTCAAGTTTTGAATTACAGAGCATTTGAGGCTTCAGAGTAGAGATTCTCAACCTATACTACTGTCTTACTCATGCGCAACTACAAGAGTGTATAAATATTGTTCTCACTACAGAAAAACTAAGGTTCCTTTCTGGGGAAAATGTTTAGAAAGCATGGCAGGAACAAAGAGACTAAAGGCACAGACTCAGGTAAAGCAGATGCAGAAGGGCAGCTGCTCACCTCATCGACAGGAAGCACTGCCTCCAGGTCGCCTCTCAGAAGGCAGGAAGGCTCTGGACTCAGGGCACCAGGCTCAGAGCAGAAAGGGTTCAGGAAGGAATGAAAATAGAAGCAACAAATAGAAAGCTGACAGAAAAGAGCAGACCTCTAGCTTTCTTCCCCTCTGAGGCCTTGAAGGTAGGCACCCAGCATTAAGAAACCTTCATCCAAAGGGGTGCAGGTCACCTAAGTACCCAGCTGAAGCCAGCTGGTGAGCGACACCAAGTCCTTCTAGTATACCACTCTGAAAGACAAATGGTCACCCAGAAATAAAAAAAAATCTGAAGGAAGGCTCTGCTACAGAGACAGGCAAGGAAAATAAAACCACACAAAAAACAATCTAATGAAATGCAAACAATACAAGAAAATTTCAAATCAAGTACAAAATAAATAATAGAAGGATTGAAAAAAAAAAAAGCCATTAAACAGGGAAAAGCGCTTAGAAATTGAAGACACCAGAAACAAAAGTAATAGAGTGAAAAACTAAAGTTGTATGCTGGCAACTCAGTGGTAGTGTACTTGCTTAGCATGTGTGAGACCCTGGGTTCCTTCCCAGCACTGCAAAAAAAAACCCAATAAATAAATTTGAGAAAAACTAAAAATTAGAATAAAAACAGAGAGATGGACAATATATAGGGCAAAAATAAGAAAATATGGGATAAAAATCCTCATGCTTGTAGAGAAAATAAGGAACAATAGCAGACAGAGAGAAGGGATAGGAGAGACAGGAGGTAGAGAAAGAGCACGTGAAGGAGACAAGGATCATCACCCTAAAATATCAGATTCTGAAAGCAAAAATCTCAAAAAAAGGCCACTCTGATTTTTTTTTCTAGAAATATCTGGGAGATGCATGCCACCCAAATAAGGAAATAAACCAAGAGGAAAGCCCGGGATCCAGCCTCTAATTGGTGGCATGCATCTGTCCTGGGAGACTGTGTTTTTGGAAGCAAATGATATCAAAATTGTAACTGGTAGAAAATAGCAGCACCATGTGGGGGTAAAGCAGCTGTGGACCAAAGACAGATGGAAATGTCAGGTGAAACACTTTCTCAGACATTGTGTCTTCTTCTGATAGAAAACCAAAGAGGTGTTTCAGAAAGGTTCTCAGAACACTGAGAAAGTATAGACAGTAAGTACACCAAATGACTTTAAAGACATCACTTTACAAAAACTTTTTGAGTCAACTACTAAATACGTCAATAATTCCTTGTGATCACTTAGGATCACATGTAGGTCAAGATCCCATAGGCCATATTTTTCTCTAAGAGATAAAAATTCAAAATTACTAACTTTACGGTATGCAAGACCCCCAGGAAAGAGCAAAATAACTGACTGCTAATGTGCACCACATGCAGTACTTGCTATGTGCCTTCTGAGGTCATTGATCCCTCTTAGCTTGAGATCTTTCTTGTGACCAGAACATGAATTGCTGGGTTAGAGGGAGTTTACGGCTCCTTTCCACTCCAAGCAAAAAGGGACATATCTGGGAACCACGCTCCCTCCCTTGCCAGAAATCAAGGCTCTACCTTCTTCATCAAGTCCACCGATGATGTTGTAGACATAGTATGGGAAGAAGCGCCTTGAGTACAGGATGGTAGACAGCATCGCAGCAATGGCCCCCGTTGTCATGGCCTTATTATTGGAATGCTTGTACATCTGCAGGATTTGGTAAAAACAGAAGGCATATGAAGGTGGAGCCTGCAAGTCTCTTTCACATCAAACACAACAATACCTACGTAAAGTGGTACTCTATTAGATCCCTAAAATCTCAAGGGAACAAATGCTAAGCTTGCCTTCCACTCTCTGGCCCTGTAAGAGGGCACATGAGGTAACCTAGGAAAGCCTTCCAAATCCACACCTCCCTTCACTGTGAACCTAGACCAGGGGCCATCAAAACCTAGCACAGGCCAAATTTCAGCCCACTGCCCGTCTCTGCGAATATAGCTATGGTGGAACACAGCCACACTCACTCATCACATACTATCTCCAGCTCTCTTTTCAGGACAACAGCAGAGTGGGGCAGCTGTGACAGAGGCCAAATAGCCCATGAGGCTGAAAACACTCGTCATCTGGCCTGCCACAGATCAGTCTGCTGACCCACATCAGAGCCAGATGTGGCCCTCATCTCTGCAAACACCTGTGAGAACAGGAGACAAAGGGCAGATCCTTAGTTTGCAAGATTCGGGTACAGAGAGTGGTCTCGCTCCTTGAAGCATCCCCAGTGGAGAACACAAGTAAAAAAACAGGCTCCTAAGATAACAATATAGTGTTTTCATAATCCTAGATTTGTCAGACTCTTGGGAATCCAGAATAACTCAACAGAAATTCTGCAAAACTCACAAATATAAAATGGGTTTAGGTTGACTTAATTTTTGTCAATCATATAGCATCACTAAAGAGAAACCCAACACTATAAACCCAAACCATGACTTTCAAAATATAGAAAAATGAAAAGCTATGTAAAATACCATTAACAATCACTGTAGATACCTGCTAACATATCTGAAACCTTGAAAGTAAGGTCCTAAAAAGCGCAAACAACTCATGAACAGTGAAATCATTTCTATCCAGCCCAAGTCAGTGCCAGTGAAGCCAATATACACCTGCCTAGTGATGGTGTCACAACTGGTGTGCAATCAGCCTCAACTAATGGTCACAACAAGCAAAGCCACGTGACCACCTTGTTGGCACTTTCCTGTCATACCACCCCCCCTACCCCTGGTGGCCACCACTGAAGCCTGTCAGGTGATGGGCTACAGCTCCCACCCTCACTCCTGATCTATTCCTTCCTCTTCCTGCTCATGTGTCTGTACACTAAGGTCAACAGTACAAAGGGAGAAATCCTTTCAGCTGACAGTGCTTCAAACCAAGTGCCTGCTAACACATTCTGGGGCACCTCCTGCCCCAGATTAATTCGTTTTGTTTTAGAGGGAAAAGTTTCCTATGAGCCCCTCTAAGGCTACCTGGAGAAAGAACTTCTCACGGTACAGAGATATCAGCATGTGAAGGAGCTGCTGGTTCACAATGAGACCTCAACAAACCTGGTCAGCAGGATCACTTCACTTCTAGGATACAATGCTTTGCCTGTTAAATTCATGCCTCTCCAGCTGTTCTAAGCAACAGTCATATTGCAGGCCTAAGAATCTAATGGATTGTTTCTAATGTTCAATGGTGTAGACAAGTACAAAAGCACCTACCTTCAGTCTTGCTTCAATAATCTTTGTCAGGGTAAGGCAGTCTCCATGAAAACCGCTACATCCAATGACTGTTTTGTCTGTTCTGTAAAAAGCACATTTCAGCAAGGATGGTTAAAATCTGATGGTGTTATATCATTCTCTATCTCCATATCTTGTGTATTTTATTAAGACAAAGGAGAAAAGGGTGCTCACTTCAGCAGCACACTCATCACAACAGATGCTACCCAGGTGACAAAACTCACACTGGATGGTGTCTATAAAGCCAAGTTTAAAGCTTTCTTTTCAACATTTACTACTCTCAAACTCTGAAAGGTACATCTTAGAAGGGGAAAGCACTGGCAGAAAAGAAAGCAGCATCCAAGGGCAGAAGGGACTGGGACAATGCTTCTTAGTTAAGATGTGGGCCATGCTCAAACCAGGAAACAAGGCGCTGTCATCTTCCTCGCCTGCTCCCCACAGCACCACAAGGGCCTGTACAGAGGGCCCAGAAGGACCCACACCTTATCTGTCTCATTCCCACTCCAATTCACGCTTAGTAAGCTGTGACTCAACTTGGGATTAACAAAGATTCACAGCATTTCCCAAATGGTCAAATACATACCGCAGCTAATCACCAAGAGGCACTTCTGCGATATATACAGACAGTTCTATTTTGGTATATATGGCTTCATTTCATACATTTTAGGAAGAGAATTATTCAGCCCATTAAAACTTTAAGTTATTCAAGGAAAAAAAAAACTAGGAAAATTTAAGAACACTTAGTAGATATGGTGCTATGGTTTAGATGTTTGTCCCTTCCAAAACGTGCTGAGGTTTAACTGCCACTATGATGGCATGTTTCGGGTAGAGCCCTCATGAACAGACTAATGCTGTGCACCCCTTTCTCTCTGTCCTTCTGCCATGTTATGACACAGTACAGAGACCCTGGCCAGATGCTGTTCTCCCAAAGCTGGAATTCCCAGCACTATGAGCCAAAACATTTCTATTCGCATAAGTAGACTTACACAAATGAATAGAGGCATAGAAAGAAATGTTAACCAAATGTTCAAGGTAAGATCCTGGGGATGGCATATTGGTGTTCATTATGAAATTCCTTTGTTGAATAAAAGTTCTTGAATTTTTAATAGTGAGATGCTAGGATAAAAACACATAGGTTACCAAAAGCAGTGTGGGTACCCAGATACAGCAAGTATCAAAAACTCTGCAATGAATTTAGAAAATGCTTAGAAAATTGTTCTTTAGAGAAAATACAAGATAAGCTCCCAAGGCAGCGTAAAAACTCACTAAACAAACTGCTTAACCGGTGGAATCTTTTGCAGCATTATGTCATCACAAAGACATTATGAAATATGTCCTTAGAAACATTTACTTACAACTTGTAACATTTGGGGCTGTCCCGAGTGTGAATAGAAAAGCCTTCACTGAGCCGAGTGTCAGAAGCAACAATCGAAAAGTCTTCACCAGCAATTGCCAATACAGTACTGAGGAAACAAAGAGAAAATTAATGCTTCAGGGTGGTAACCCTACCTTTCTTAATGGAAGGATGCTCCACAGGACAAATTTGGATGTGAACAAGAACAGGATTCCAATGGAAGAGGAAAGACTGGCTGTAAATGTCTTGAAAAAAACCCTAATCATCCCAAATTCAAGCAAAGGCTCCCTGACAGGAATAAATGAGAAAGCTACTGAATTATCATCATCATCAAATCAGAAACCTTACTAATGCAAGGTTGTAGATTAAAAACCCTGACATTTTAAAATGATGAAATGAGGACCAGGTATAGATAGCGTCACAACAATACAACCTCAGTTCAGCAGAAGGGAGCAGTGCATCTTCATGTGCCAAGAGTATCTAATGTCTTGCACACAGCAGACACTTGGGTACTTGCTGACGAGTGGACAGAGAGCAAATTTCCCCTAAGATGCTTACAGCGCAAACTCCAAAAGCAGACCTGGGTCCTAATTCTGGCTCTCCAACTTAGCAGATACAAGGCTGCTGGGTATGTTATTTAGCTTCTCAAGGCCCCAATTTCCGTTCTTACAGCAGAGCTATAAGTCAGAGTCTTGTTGGGTATTGGCAAGGGTTAAGTGAGCTGACAGTTGTAAAGCCCTTATAACACTGACTATGCAGCACTGCTCCTCTACTCGATGTGAGCTATGACTGCAGTGGCATATGCTTGAATGAGAGTAAGATGACTAAGCACCTGGGTTCTGTAATTACTGGAGGCAGAGACCTTCACTTGTCACCTAACACTTCTGTGACCTTAGACAAATTCTCTAGGTTCAAGTTAATGACAATAGCAGTGTCTGTGTTACAGGGTATCTTTGAGAATTAAATGACAACAATCCACACTGAACACCTAGGGTTGAGGATGTAGTTCAGTGGTAGAGTGCTTGTGAGCATGTGCAAGACCCAGTACTGACAAAAAATAAAAATAAAAAGTCACAGCACCTAGCATAGTGCCTTCCAGAATACAGTACTCAGAAAACTTGAGGTCCTATTTTACTGAGTAAGGTTTTCACCAAAGTTTCAAAGTAGAAAAGGATGCATTCCAGGGATTAGCAAGCAAAGGGAAACAGCTAATAGTTACATAGTACATGAAAACAACCATTCAGGTGGCCATTTTAGTGCAAGAGAGTGGAGAGACATATTCCTGCATGATGGACAGGGATCCTGCTGTGGAAGGGCCCAAATGTCAAGCTAAAGATTTATGGATTTATACAAAAAATTTTTTTTTTTTGAATTTTAGCAAGGTACTGTGAAGATTATCTGAGCAAGAATGAAAAAAGACAAAAGGGTTTGATGACTACTCTGACAACACCACAATGTAAAACGGGACAGAAACATGCTCCAGAACAAGTAATGCAATGGGAGGGAAGCAGGGTAAAGAGGAGAAAAGGGGATGCACCCCAAACAACACACACACACACACACACACACACAAAATGGACTGAAATGCAGAGCTGGGAAAACCCATTATGACATCCATGATATTACAGAAGCAGAATAATGACATAACTATGCCGCACATCTAAAGGAGGTGATGTGGTTAAAAAGAATAATTAGCTTGTTTTGCTTACTCTCCTCAGATGGTGAGAATAGAAAAATCAAGGCATAAATGTTTTACAGGAAAACAACAACAACAAACGGAATTGAGGAACTTATGAGAAGTAGAACTGGAGAAAAAGTCTTGGGAATTATACTCCCAGGTATGGGACATGTGACTGCTAAGGGCAGACTTGGAGGCTAAAAATTAATAGAAATAAACCTCATTTTGTAGAAGCAGAGGCTGCCTGAAAGCCAGCCGCAATACATGCTAAAGATTGAGAATGGGTGACAATGTAATAATCAAAAGATTATAAATCTTAGAAGAGTAATAGCTTTAACTGGATTACAAGTTAAACTGGATGACAAGGGGTAAAAAAGTGAATGAGAACTGAAATTCTATTATCAAGGATTTATGCAGGGAGCAGTGGCACATGCCTGTAATCCCAGCGGCTCAGGAGGTTGAGGCAGAAGGATCCCCAAGTTCAAGTCCAGCCTCAGCAATTTAGCAAGGCTAAGCAACTTGGCAAAAGCCTGTCTCTAAATGGGAGGGGGGCAAAAGGCTGTGTAGAGTACAAAAAAAAAAAAAGAATTATAAAATGGGTCTGACAATCCACTTTATAATATGAATCATCACATGACATGTTAATGAGTGCAATGGAAAAGCAAACAAACCCAGTGATGACAGAATTCTGAATTCAAGTCCTGACTCAATTCACACAAGGTCTTTAACTTCCAAGAGCCTCACCGGGCTAAATATCATCTAATATTTACTGATCCTGAGAACTGAATATGATCATTGCTGGTACGTCACAAAATGTCTTTGATTCTCCCCAGAAATACTAAGTAGCTAAGGAACAAAAATAAATTTAAGTTCAAGAAATGAAAAGGTAGCCAGGCACCTATAATCCCAGTGGCTCAGGAGGCTGAGGCATGAGGACCCCCAAGTTCAAAACCAGCTTCAGCAACCAGGGAGGCGCTAAGCAAACTCAGGGAGACCCTCTCTAAATAAAATACAAAATAGGGTGGGGATGTGGCTCTGTGGTCGAGCACCCCCACTCCCGAGTTCAATCCCTGGCAGTGCCCCCCACCAAAAGAAAAAAAAAAAAAAACGAAGAGGTACCCAAAGACCACATTGCTCTTCAGTAGCATGACCAAAACTAAAACTGATCCTTCACGGTCTTAAAACACTCTCACATTCAATATTTCAAGTTAATTAAGGACCTGATTGGTATTTTGTTTTTTTCTAAAGAACCATCTGCACGCCTGTCATCCCAGCGACTACGGAGACTAGGGCAGGAGGATCCAAAGTTCGAGGCCAGCCTGGGTAACTTAGCAGATCATACCAAAAAATAAACAGGGCTGGGGGTGTGGCTCAGCGGTAGAGCTCCTGGGTCCAGTGCCCAGCGGCAAAACCAAACCCAGAACCGTCGTCAGTGAGAAACGGCTGATACACTCAAGGCGGCCTCAATTTACAGCGATCGGCCGTCAAGAGACCCACGCCCACCAGGGAAAGGACTGCTTAGGACCCAGCCGGCATTCCGACAGCACCAGGCCCCGAGCGCGGCACGAGAGCACACGCAGCTTTCCCCGATCCCGGGCCCAAGAGTCAGAGCTCCGCCGCGCGCCCTCAGGCCCACCGCTCCCGCCGCCGCCGGGCGTTACCCTCCGTTGAAGGCGTAGGGCGAGAAGCGCAGCCGCCAGGGACCCGCGGCGCGCAGCGCCTCCATCTCCGGCTGCCCGCCGCAACCCCAGGGCGAGACTGCGGACGACATCGCGCGGCACGGCTAGTGCTGTCTCACGACGAGATGGCGGCCCGGCCGGAAGTCGGGCCGCTTCCGGCTTCCGCGGGCGCCTCTACCCGGCGCATCTCTTTGCTCCTGGAGGTCCGCGCTGCCTGTCTTGCAAGGGCTGATGAGACTAAAATTTTTTTCCTTCAGAAAAAGAAAACATTCGAGTTCACTCTTGGCGGGCCAAATTGAGAGTCTGGCCACACCAAAAATTTGGCCAAACTATGGAGCAGCGGCAACTTGAAGGCCCCCTTGGCGGTAGAGGACCCGGCCCCAGATGCACACGTAGTCAGGCCGCAGCTTTCTGAATGGCTTCAGACCGCACCAGCTGAAGGCCATGAAAAGCGGAGTGACTGATTAACAGAGGAGCTACCATAAAATGAGATATGTCACCCCAAATAAACGAGGCGACTTCGGCTAGTTGGGAAACACAGGAAAGACACACCTGCGCCCCGTAACCCTAACAATACGGGCAACACCACTGGCGTGCAGAGTAGGTGGGGCCGTTTGGCCGGCGTGTGGGAGGGTGTTGCGTGCCAGTAGTATTCTCTGCACACGTTCTTATGCACTTACGTATACAAATTATATTTTCAATCCTACATGCAACCCCACAAGCAAGTAGTGAACTAATGTAGGATGGACTACCTAATAAGCACATGCAATTCTGGAACCAGAAAGATTTCTTTTTGGGACTAGGCGGGTCCGGGGATTGAACTCGGGGGCACTCGACCACTGAGCCACATCCCCAACCCTATTCTGTATTTTATTTAGAGACAGGGTCTCAGTTGCTTAGTGCTTCGCTTTTGCTGAGGCTGGCTTTGAACCCGCGATTCTGTCTCAGCCTCCCAAGACGCTGTGATAACAGGCGTGCACCACGGCGCCCTACCCAAAGATTTTTTTAAAAAGTACTTGTTTAAAACCTTTTCTCATGTTTTACCATATAATAAAACAAAGCATTTTCCTTAATGGTCATGGCCCGAGAAGATCACCATTGTGCTTATTCCAGTCCTCCACAGGTTAACAAGGTGCCAGGTTCTGTCCTGGGTACTTATTTTAAGTACAATTTCTCACTCTTAAAGAACACACAACCTTACTGATAATTAGAAATACAAAGGAAGCAGATAAGCAAACAACATAATGTATGAATATGCCTAGTATCAGGAAGCAGCAATAGATCATATCTTGTGACAACCACAAAGAGTGAGGAGCGCACGAGGTGGTAGTAGTAGAATTAAAATATAAAGGAATGTGTGAGTACACGCCATCTGCTTCTGTTTTTCCTCATTCTGCAAGCTCGCATTTGCGAACTTGGTAAGGAATACGTGAGTGCCGTATGCCACGCACTGCTCATGATTCACGCAAACTCACAACTCTAACGGGCAAGTTCTATGACTATGATTATCCAACTTTGCAGAAGACCCCGAGTTGGAGTTGTTAGCTTCGAAAGGGTTCACCACTAGTTGGTTAAAAAAAAGAAAAGAAAGAAAGAAATCCAACATTTAAAAACCAGTATTCTTCCCGCGTCCGGCAAGGGCCAATTAGAAAAGGCTCTGGCAAGACGATCCCGCCTCGCCCCGCCCTGTCCCGGAACTACCAAAGAGCTCCGCCCGGCGTTTCCCTTTCGTCAAACGCCCGGAGAAACGACGGAAGTGACCGACTCCCACGCCTCCCGTTGACGCCGCGCGCGCAACCCGCTGAAGCCGAAGAGGGGACTGGCGGAAGTGACATTATCAACGCGCGCCGGGAGTTCAGTGGGGTCGGCCAGGGTCGCCGTGGCGGGCGCCGGGGCCACCTGCGGCTGAACTTCGTTTCCGGAGGTGCGTCGTTGTCTCTGCAGTGACTCAGGTAACAGCCCGCTCAGCTTTCCCTCCTTCCCGAGGGCTTGGGCGAAGGCAACCCCGACAGCGAGGCCCGAGGGCCGCGACGGGCGTCTCGCCGGGCGGGCGCGCAGGCCCGCGGGGCCGTTGCTCCGCTCGTGCTGCCGCCCCTCCCGCCTGTACCGGCCGCTCGGCCGCGGCTGCAGCCCAGTACCGGCTCTGCTGCTGTCCGTGGGCCGAGCGCGGGGTGCAGGGAGCATCGAGGACGCAGGTCTGCCTGCCCTCGGCTGCCGCCGGCTGGAGGGCAGATTCACCTGCCGGAGCCCGCCCGCTTTGCTGCCACAGGGTGGGTTTGTCACGAAGTCATGCTCCAGACCTAAACATCTGGTCAGAAGCCCGCGACTTGAGCGCGGAGGAGCTTGAGAAAGAAACCCGCCACTTTCTTCACAAGGTCTCCATCAAGCCAGCATGGGTTCTGAAAACATGGGGTAGGCTTGTTTGGGAAGAGATTTATGTCTGAGTTATCCAGACATAGCTAGAAGGCTGGGCAGAATTAATTTGATCACTTCCCAGAAATACCTAATTTAATACTCCGGTTTCCATGAGAAGATGACATTCCTTTCCAAGGATAAATGCAGTACTCAACGTGCGATTGTATGGTACAGGTGAGGAAAAATGGTCTGTGCCATTGTTGAGAGCTGAGCTCTGAATAGTTTGCTCAGGTCCCTAACCTTCAGTAACCAAACCGTTCCTTCTGGAGACTTTTAGTGCGCAAAAAGTGGTCTGGAGACAGCAGAGATTCCAGATAAGTGCATCATATGTAGGGCTTTAAATTCTGCTTTCATTACCTCTCTACTCAACCATAGCACTGACTCCTTGAAGTGAATTTTCAGTCTTCAGTTTTCTCTTCTCAGATTTATCCACATTTGCAAAGTAGATCTAATTCATGCTGCACTTTGAAATCCTTTAACTGTTCTTACGGCTTGTGTATGTAATAACATCTAAACTCTGGTACCGTGACCTCCTATGGCTGCTGTCTCATCTCCTGCAGTGACATTCCATACAGCCTAATGCTAACCTTGTCACTCGCACCCTGCATGCTTTTCTATCTTTGTCTCTGTGCTTCATTTCTTTTGACTGAAAAGTTCTACTTGCCTTGCTTGACACAGTTAGATGATCCCTGCTTTGTGAAAACAATGACCTCTCTTCAGAGTACTTGATTTTAGCCTATGTTGTCTTCTCTTCCACAGAGGATGTGCATTCATTCACAATTACGCACCATATGCGAGGCACAGAGATAGGTGTAGAGATTTCAAAGACATAATGTGCTGGTTTCTGCTCTCAAGAATCTTAGCTTACTTGGGGCATACTCTCTGCTGGGCTTACCAAGTTTTTATAGTACTTATTTGAATGCTCTTCATGTTGAACTATTTGATGCCAGGGCCTATGTCCCCTCCATCTTCATATCTTTTATGCAGCACTTTTATTGTGATAAAGTAACAAGTTCAGAAAACATAATTTTCTTATACCTCTGATGTATTCATTTTCAGAAGTAGAGCTCTTGCTTGCTTTCTTTGGTTTGATTTTTCAATGATGAGTTTGTAGGATAAGTAGTCTTTGGGGGTCCAATTTTTCATTGCTTTAGCAAATATCTTAGTGCCTACTCTGTACCAGCACATACTTTAAGTGAATGTGGGTTGTATTAGGGTTCTCTAGAGGAAAAGAATCAACAGGAAGTATAATTATAAAAAAGGGACTTATTAGGTTGGTTCACACAATCAGAAGCTGAGTAGTCCACAATGCCGGAGAGCTGGAAGAACCAGTAGCCGCACAGTCCAAGAGGCTGAAGCCCCAGAACAAGAGGAATGAACAGTTTACCTCAAGAATGAAGGCTTATGGGTAATCACTAGCAGAACACAGCAGCAATCAAAAATCCATTCAAGAATCAAGCTTGCATATCTTGGTGATTCCTTGTTCTTCAAACTTTTATTCCATCTAAGCCATCATCCTATTGGTTGGTGGTGCCCACGCTTAGGGAGGATGTCCATTTCAGTTGGCTGTCTCACATGCCAGTCATTCCTAGACATACCCTCACTGACATACCCATAGTCCTCTCAATACTTGGCATCTCTTAAGCCAATCAATTTGACAATTCAAATTGACCATTACATGGGTCTTTGGACATACAGCTTTGAGACCTATAAGTTCTGTGCAAGAATATCTTATTAGATGATAATAAATGTTTGGACTGAATTATTGTAGTAGTAGTTAACATTTGATCTGGGCTTACTGTATAACTAGGTATATTTTGATCTGTTAACTCAGTCAATTCTGTGTTGATTCAATCAGTTCTCACAGCAACACTGGATAATTTGTGGACCCATCTAAACAGGCCTTAAGACTGGGAATGTAGCTCAATTGAGAGTGCTTCCCTGTCATGAGTGAGGCCTGGTTAAGATTATGACATTGATATCAATACAGTATTTTTACTTATTGATGTATCACACAATTTCTACAATCTTTGATTAAAGTTGGAGCTCAAAAAAAGACCCTAAAAAATATTGGGTTTAATTCAATATTTATTGGATCTTATGCCCAAGACATTGTGGAAAAAATTGGGTAAAATATTTAAAAACCTGAACTTGAACTTGGCTTCTGTATACACTATATACTACACTTGATATATATATATATATATATATATATATATATATATATAATGCTTAATAAATGTTCTGCTCTGATAGGACAGTTTGCTTAGCAATTTTTTTTGAGGAGTTTTTCCTCATTAGTTTTTAATGTTGGTTATGACGCCTTAATTTTGAGTACTGTCAGACTACTTAAATTAATCATGTAATAGAACAAAAGGCTGTAGGCTTGTGTTGGTTTTCTTATTTGTGTTTGGGTAACCACAGAACTGTGGTTATAAGACAAGACAGGTTACCTGTGCTCTTAACATTAAGCTTGAAACTTTTCCAAGGAGCATCGCTGTTTTTCCGTGTGTGAGAGTAACCCAGAGCATTGAGAAGTTACCAAGAAGAGTGTGCTGGGAATGCTCCAGAAACAGATCCGGTGCTGAAGAAAGTGCGCATCATGGATCAGAACAGCAGCCTGCCACCCTATGCCCAGGGCTTGGCCTCCCCCCAGGTAATGCAGCAGGTAGGGGGTGGGGCGCATGTGCCCACAAGGGACAGCACAGTCCCAGGGCCATTTAACCACTGTTG